ACGGCTGGTGGCGAAAGGATATCGTCAAAAAGAAGGAATCGATTATGACGAAACTTTCTCACCTATAGCCATGCTAAAATCTATTCGGATTATGTTGGCTATAGCTGCACACCTAGATTATGAGATATTCCAAATGGATGTCAAAACGGCTTTTCTAAATGGTTTTCTTGAGGATGACATCTCTATGGAACAACCACGGGGTTTTGAATCCAATGGTGAAAGCCGAAAGGTGTGTAGGCTTAAGAGATCCATTTATGGACTCAAACAAGCCTCCAGAAGTTGGAACATCCGTTTTGATGAAGTATTCAAATCGTTTGATTTCATCAAAAACCCGAATGAACCTTGTGTATACAAGAAGGTCAGTGGGAGTGCAATTGCATTTCTAGTTTTGTACGTCGATGATATACTTTTGATCGGGAACGATGTACCGATGATATCATCGATCAAACTATTCTTGTCACAAAAATTCTCCATGAAAGATTTAGGAGAGGCAACCTATATTTTAGGTATCAAGATCTATAGAGATAGATCGAGACGATTGATTGGCCTCTCACAGTCTACGTACATAGACAAAATGTTAACACGTTTTAACATGCAATATTCCAAAAGAGGATTATTGCCTTTTAGGCATGGAATCCATCTTTCCAAGGAGATGTGTCCCAACACTCCCGAAGAAAGAGAGCGGATGGCAAAGATACCTTACGCATATGCTATTGGAAGCATAATGTATGCTATGCTATGTACGAGACCTGATATTACACATGCTGTAAGCATTACTAGCAGATATCAGTCTGATCCAGGGGAAGAACACTGGATAGCAGTCAAGAATATCCTTAAGTACTTGCGAAGGACTAAAGATTTATTCTTGATATATGGAGAAGGAGAGTTTAAAGTTGAAGCTTATACTGATTCCGATTTTCAATCGGATCCTAATGATTAGAAGTCTGCATCTGAGTTTGTCTTTACACTTAATGGTGGCGCAGTTAGTTGGAAGAGTTCCAAACAGAGCATAACTGCTGACTCCACCACTGAGGCAGAGTATGTAGCCGCTTCAGAAGCAGCAAAGGAAGCCGCTTGGATGAAGAAGTTCATTTCTGAACTTGGAGTCGTTCCTTCCATTGAACAACCAATAACATTGTTTTGTGATAACAATGGGGCAATAGCTCAAGCGAAGGAACCAAGGTCTCACCATAAGTCCAAGCACATTGAGAGACGCTTCCATCTCATTAGAGAAATTGTTGGGAGAGGTGATATCGCCTTGCAGAAAATTGCCTCAGCGGAAAACGTGGTAGATCCCTTCACTAAGGCCTTACCTCATTCTTCTTTTGAAAGACACATTGACAAAATGGGTTTGAGGTACCAAACAAATTGGCTTTAGTGCAAGTGGGAGATTGTTAGATGTATGCCCTAAAGTTACCATGTAATAGTTACATGTTAGGGATTTAAGTTGTACTTTCAATTACATTATCTATTTAATGGCAAGGACGTATTCATTCATTTGTCCAATTATTTGAATATATGAATGATTCCATAAGATCAGTTGTGACTGGACCTATTCTTGAGACGTTAAGAATATATGTGACAGGGTCACAGTTAGACTGAGTCTTTAAATTGTTCTCGGTCGATGGATCATTGAGTGGATATTAATGATCTTGTTGAGACCGGTGTGTTCGTAACTTCACCAACAAGTATTGGATACTTAAGGGAATGACGAGTCATGAGTCATTGGATATTGCGATACCCGAGCTAGAACACAGGTGTTTGTATCAGATAAGTTCACTGAACGTGACACGCATATAACGATTAGCAACATGGAAGCTTTTAGCGTGGTCAATGCCTAATCGTTCATGCTCTGGTCTTATGTAAATAATCCTTAGACCTGAGGCACAGTGTTGACTTGTGTGTTGAATGGCTATGGTTCACAAGTGCACATATTGCTGGTTCGTTGATCCGTCTCTGTACTTGATGGCCATAGTTCGTTCACATACGAAGTTACACGTGTGCACAAAATGGAATCTGTCTCCTCGTTATACACAAGGTACAATAATGATGTCATATGCAATCTAATCTTGACAATGCATTGAAATCCTCGGCCGGGGTTGTAACCGAGAATGAACTGTCCATGTCTCGTATAAAGTGCATGTCAATTAGATTTGTGCATACGATCGAATTGGTGACTTGACAAATATTCCATGGTCTTTGTTCGATCGGGATATAGTAAGACAGAGGGATTGAATTACACCGTAACCAAAGCTGATAGGTTCATTATGTTCTTAAAACATTCACACTGTCTGGGTAGCCATGACATATTGCTAGATGTCAATCATGGCTTGTAGGACTTAGAGGTTGATCGGGACAATCAATTCTCTTGGGAGTACTAATGTGTTAGTGCAAGTCTTACTACCAGCTCAGTGATGAACCTAGGGATGTCACACACCATAACCAATTTTGGATGACGTAGTACGGAAGAGACAATATTGCAAATATGTTTGCAATCGAATTGAGTCGGACTCAAATTAAATTAAATGGGATTTAATTTAATTCAATTTTTGTCATGGGCGTGTGTGCATATGATGCTCACAAAATACACATATGCTGATCATGCACTTCTGTATTTGTATATACATGTTTATATTTATTTATATAAAAAAAAAATTTGTCGCATGCACGTGGCCAGCAAGCGCTGACCATGTGCATGGCACACGGTCAACAAACGGTTGCTGACCGTGTGCATGACACACACGATCAGCAACCATTGCTGATCGTGTGCAACGTGCACACATGCGATCAGCAACTGTTGCTGATCGCACATTATTAATGATGCGATCAACAACAGTTGCAAAACGATGAAGAAAAAGCGTATGCAATTATTATGTGTTCGTAAGAGTTAAGAAAACATGTTTTCTCTCTTCTGACGCCGTGACTGAAATATCGAGAGTGCGAAGAATTGTCGCCACAAGATTGCTAGCACAATTATATTGGTGATTACCCGCAAGTTCTTCCTTCCGTTCGTCGTGCGATTGGTGGTGTGTCTGAACTAGAAGTCCGACGCTTGTGGGGCTTGAACTGAAGAACATCCGAACCGAAATCATTTTGGGCACGCTACGAAAGGTAATTCGTTTAACCCCTATGGTCTTTCCGATTTTTAATTGAAACGCACGAACAACGCCTTTGGAGATACATGTATGGTTATATTTTTCCGCTGCGTTTATATTTAATTTTAACTATGCATGTTCCGTAGAAAACCAACACCGGGTTCATAACGTCAGCGGTATTGCAATTGATGATCAAAAAGAGAAAAAAGGATACTCAATGCTGCTTATGTTATAAAGAGAGATCGGATTTTCGGTCTTGTTTATAAATTTACGCACCCTAAAAGGGGATTCCAAAAGTCTGGACCGTCGCTTCAAATTGCAAAACCACAATGTATGAGCAACTCGAAAACATTCATACGCACTTGAAGATGAGGCATCACGTCACCCTTTTCTTTGCATAGATGTTTGTCATTGATGGAGTCGTTCTTTAATTCACGGTCAGCCGTGAAGAGTACATAGTGATGGAGCCGTTGCATGTTAGGTTGGTTAAAGACATAAGTAATCCTCGACCCTAACACGTGCAATTTGAAGTGACTTTTAACAGCGCGTTGCTAATTGTCTATTAGAAAATAATCATAAGCCGGCGTATCGTCCTAATTATCCCTAACATAATTTGTGTTGCCCTGGATTTAACTCATTCGAAATATTATCCGCTTTAGTTCATCCTATATCAAGTCTCATGATTTTATCCTTTGATGTACAGGCGAGCACCTTCCCACGAGGTCACTCGTGAGTGCTCCCACCTGAACACGCTTACCAATCTAGATATTATCGTTACGTCAAAAGGTGTTTCCCTGAATTAATTCCAGTTTTCACATATATATATTTCGGAATCGCTTTCTCCATGTTCGGTGCACAGTTCAGTTCATTCATGTCAGAAGCCGCTCCTTATCCATATCTTCTGTCCCCGGTGATCACTTCTCGCCCTAGTCGAATTGGGTCGTTACATAATCAATAACCGTCTTACCAAAAAAAGAGAGTCCCGTAGCAATTACATAAACGGTCCCGCAATAGCGACGGTACAAGGAATCTCAAACACGACCTTAATAAGTGAACAAAAATTAAACCGGTTTCTATCTGCTATGTTTCGCCGACAAATCATGCCAACATACACAGAGAGATGCGCGGGATCACAACATTGAATGCGGACCCATTCTAAAACTCTTCACTATGACAAACTCTTCACGGCTCCATCCTAAAACTTCGGGGTTCGATGTTATTCGCGAACGACTCTGAGGATTTTGTTCATCAGTTAAGTGGTTAAATTAAAGAACTTGAAACTTCAACACACGGACTTTACACGCGACGCGATTAATCAATGCGTTGAAAGTCGAATTGGTTTTTATCAGGTGTACGTACTAGCTTAACCTAAACGGATTTCGAAATGCGTGAGTTTGACTTTTTTTCTGGTGGATCGAGGCAATATGGGGTCTCTCAAAGTTTTAACTTCCACATGCATGGACTCGCAATTTGCCCAACTGCGGACCATGGTTTCACTTCTCCTTCCCAGTTGCTCGCCGTTGAACCTTTAATCGATGTTTGAAAATTTCGTAGTTAGATCCACCCTCCACCAACTTGAAAATTTCTCAGTTAGATCCGGGTGCATGTGAGTCAATTGCATGTGATCAGCTCTTGACATTGGTTGGTTTCACGTGCAACTCGCCCGATCTAAAGATTGAGACGCACTGAGCTCACATGCACTCGATGCAGAGCATTCGAACATGTCAGTCTGTTCAAAGGTCCGGTTGTAGTCAGCTGATTCACTCTCTCGGCTTACCCTCCACTCCCTTGATCTCCTCATCATCTACTCTTGTTCTCATGATTCTCTCCATTTCTTTGGTTTATGAAGTAGCTATAAACATCAATACAAGGAGATATAACGATAAAGAATGTAATTTCGCGGCCAGACCAACCGATGAGAAGGCAGCATATGTAAATATGTGAGTGTAAAGTGCTAAGCCCCGAGATAACATAGGATGTGAGGTGTGAATCCCCCCTCCTTTTCTTTTTCTCTTTCTCATATATTATCACAGACAAGCATCATATGATCCTATCGAGAAAATATTGCTAGCACAAGTATATAAGAATCAAGCATGGATATGTGGACAAACTAAACTGACAGGAAATTACCAAAAAGGTCTTGAACTTATTTTACAGATGTCAATATATTTAGTTCTAAATCTTTCAATTTAGCAAATTTAGTCATAAATCGATTGACAATTTGTCAATCTAATCTTTTCGGCCAATTTTGGCAAGAAATCGTCGACGTAGATGCTGGTCGTGCCACATAGAACGGTCGGTAATGACGAGCACGATTTTTATAATTTTTTATAATTCTTATTTTTTATATTTTTTTCTTTTTTGTTTTCTTATTTTCCATTGTGGTTGGTAAAGGCCTGCAAGCCCTTGCTGATCGCTGGTGAGGGTCGTGGCCCTCACCAGCAGCCGGCAAGACTGCAAAGGCCTTCGCCAAATTTAGGTGAGATCTACGCTGGCTGTGAAGGCCCTAGGGAGGCCATCGTGGCTTCTCCGACCGCCTCTCCCAGGTGAGGGCCTGTAGGCCCTTGCCTAATGGCCGACCACAACGACAAACAAATTTTAAAAATAAAAGAAATGGTCCCTGTTTGCACCAACCATACTACGTAGAACAACTAGCGTTTATGTTAGTGATTTTCGTCCAAAATTGGTCGAATGGGCTAAATTGGCAAATTATCAAAATTTTCAGGACTAAATTTATCAAATTGAAAGGTTTAAGACTAAATTGACATCCATATTTATGTTTTGATAATTTTTCTCCCAAATTGACATATTGGAGCCAATGAAAAGGAAGGGAGTCAAGAGACCAAAAACACAAGAAAATCTGAATCAAAAAGCTTATCTGAAAGTGAATTTGTGATCAATTGGTATCTCTTTTGCAACTCTTCTCTCTCGATTTAGATTTAAATCTAGAATTAGGCGAAAGTTATGTTGTTGTCGTCTCTATACGGTGATGGTACTAAGGATGTCAAACCTAGGCGTGCACCACTTTTTGCAAAGCTGTAGCTACTAAAGGGGATCTGTGTGTACTCATCATTGATGATGATATAAGTTTTGATGAACTGATAATGATTATGCTACGATACTATGACAAATCCGTTCTTGGGGATTGAGCGAGTCTCTGCAGGCTATACCAAGTTGATTCATTTTTCAGATATGCACTAGACTTTAACTCTTTATAATTAATTTTATCTTGAAGTTATGTATATCTCTTTCATGTGAAATGAAAATTTCCTTTCGGATAAAATATACTAACTTTCAACATCAAGATTTGGTACCACAATGGTTGGAGCCAAAATCTCGAGTTGCTCGATATCGAAGGGTAAGGTTGGTGGGCAGATCATCACCGAATATTATTTGGCTTCTCGGTAAAGACAAGCCATCATGGAAAGGAATATTAACTTATGGTTTGGATGGGATCTTGTTCATGTCATGATATACATTCAATTTGAAAATATTCAATTACATTTCTTGTTGGAAGAACATATCAAGATCTCATATGCTATGGATGGCCAGACAACGAAAGATGTGATGATGTGCAGTTGGAACTTTGAAAATGAAATGGCAGAGGCGACATAATAGAGGCAATTTAGTACAAGCAAGTGGAGTCTCCTGCACAAGCAATTCATAAAGAACCCATATTTCCATCTATCTTTTCTCCTTTTTGAAACAAGTCTATCCAAAGCTCTAAAACTAGCAGAGGATCTTGAATTTTTCAAAAGATGCGTAATTAGATCTTAAAATTTAGTCCGGTTTATGCAATCGAGTCTCTCTGTTAGCTTCACCCAAATTGGTTCAATGAAAAATGCTAACGTGGTATTTTTCAAATAATTTTGAAGACAAACACTGTTAATGCGGCACTACATTGCGAAAAAAGCTTGAAAAAACTTGGAAAGAAAAAAAGAAAAAGGCTGATACACTTGAAGAAAAATGAGGTAGACAAATTTAAAAAGAATGGTTCGATCGAGAAAGAGGCTTGGGCTAGGCCCCTATTTTGCTGGCAAGGGTTGCTGCCCTCGCTTGCTCGCACGGCCACCTCTGTTCGAGGGTCAGACAAGATGCCTGCCGTCGGCCCTCGTCATGGTCCTGACAATTCCGGAGTAGCGCTGTTGCCACCTTCAAGTTTCACCATCCTTCAAGATCTGTTCTCTATCCTTTTTTTCATTTTGCCCTTTTAATTATAGATATTACGTTCAAATTCAAGTTTGGGAAAAAATCAAGATGTTCGATAAAACAAGTTGTTTTTTGTTATGATTTTAACAAGTTTTAGAACTTGTTACACTTTGTTGAAAGATTTAAAACTTGATTATACTTTCCAAGAGGTTTCAAGACTTTTGAGCATTTATCCCTTTTACCATTTTTTGGTCAGATCCCTTTTACCATTTAACAAGTATATTTTAACATCTATCCATTTTTCCATAGGTTCAATTAATTTACCACTGTCAATAACCCAACAGGGGCTGCCTAATAATCCTGCACTAGTTTGTGGTCTTTGTGTCAAGTTCCTCATTCCCATTTTCTAATTTTTTGCAAATACCTTCTTTCTGTAAATATAACCTCAGATAAAAAGCAAAATATCGGGTGCCGGCCATCTCTAAGGAGTTTCGGTCTAGGATTTCTTACCCCAGAGTTTCTCCTATTTTCTTTGCAGAAAGTGGGTTTGTCTAGTTCTTCTCTTTTCGCCGAGATGGGAGTTTGATTACATACGTCCTATAATAGAAGTCATCGCCAGCAATCAGCTCAACTCAAGCAATTAGCTCGACTCCCTTGATTGCTTTTGCCTTTTGCAACAAGTAGACAGAGGATACAGACCAATAGATGTTCCTACTGTTTAACCCATGGTAAGATCTATTCATAGTTGGTCAAATCCCAATGGCACGACTTCTAGTTTGAAATGGTACATTTACCTTGGTGTAAAAAGCAATTGATGTATATATTTGGCCATATGGAAAAATGTTTTGGTTAGTTATAATGACAAAACGTGATTGCATGTTCTCTCGTTCGGGTGTCCCCTCCGCGTTCAATTGAATTAGACATGCGAAATTGTTTATTTTCTATTTGTTTTATCAAGTGTAGAGTGAAATGGTCATAAACGTTGAATGGCCTAACATGAACACTCAATTTCCACAACTCATGACCTAAACTTTTTTCTACACAGAAGGAAAAATAGGCACATTTTTTTTTTGTGAAAAAGGGGAAAGAAATTCATTAAAATATCGGGATAATATTATACCGGACTTTATTATATTATACATGAGTTTTTCTAACAAAATTTCAAAAAAAGATAAGCCCGATGAAAGAAATTTCGAACTTAGTTTTACATTAGTGGGTCAAATATAGAGATAGATTTAACAACTGGAAGAACTCAAATCTCATTCTCATTCTCATAAACAATATATTAATATATCATCCTTTAAATGTTATCTTTACAAGAAAAATTTGAAATTTCGTGGATAAGTTAAATTTTAACATTATGGATGCTCGGAGAGCCATTGTGATCGGGATCAGGTAGATGCCTCCCAGCCAGGGGAAGATCGAATCGGAGTTTCCTTAGTGCATTTTCGGCCTCGAGGCCTAAAAGAAAAGAAATAATCTAATTTAGTGAAGATGAGTTAGGTTATCCATTTCCTTGGGGTAGAAAAAGTTTGGTTATCCAACTAATTATTGGAGCTAATACGCAATCAGCTTGACCCAAAAAGGATAATAAATGGCGATGGCATCGCGTGCCCGTCCAAACTTGCATGAGACTTTTGGGTGAATTTCGTCAACTTCAAGACACCTCGATAGTAACTTACGAACCACCTAATACTATGTCGCTATTTTCAAGTCGAGGCAAAATGGTAAAAACTAATCCCCTTTCCGTCCTATTGTCCGATCCAATCAAAGGCGGAACTCGTAATTTAGAAAATTAATGTTTGAAGGATTATGTTTGACAAAATAATATGATAAAAGAACGAATCACGATATCGTTAATGTTTGGTGGATTATATTTTACGAATAAGACGATTAACAGCAGAACGAATCACGAAACAAATCGTATCATTATTATTGCAAATTTAATTTATCGCAGTGGGAACCCTTTAAAATAGGATCTTCTTATCTTAAAGGATAATGGCATAAACAGTCCATGAAGTTTTGTCCAATGTATAATTTGGTCCTTGAACTTTAAATTCGTTCAATGTAGTCCCTGAACTTTAACCTAATATTCAATGTGAGCCCTGAACTTTCGATTCGTTTAATATAAAGTCCATGTTCAATGTAGTCCTTCAATTTGTTCGATGTAGTCTCTGAACTTGAATTGATAAAATGACTATATCGAATATTTTCATATAGTCCACGGATTACATTGAATATGTACCAAAAGTTTACGGACGATATTGAGCAAATAAAAAATTCATGAACCATATTACATATTGAGTTAAAATTTAGTATCGTGCACCACGTTGAATTGTTTGTGCCATTTCTCCTTTTTTTTTTTTTCTAGATTAGGGAGTATCGTCGGCACGAGAAAGCTGCGCCAATCCAATGCGGAAGCGTCGTGGTGCTGGCTTTCCTTTTTTTCCTTCCTCCTGTCAGTCTCGCTTCTTCCTCCCCCACGCCGCACTCTCCGGCCGAAAGCGCGTGCGGTTTCACCCCGCTCGCCTTCGCTTTCCCCCGAAGAAACAGACACGAGAAAGGACAAATAAAATCTACTACGCTCGTTCGGGTCGTGGACTGCTGCGGCAACTCATGTTTCGGTCGCATCGCCTCCCTCCTCCTCGTTCGCACTCTCGCGGTCACAGCCTCACTCTCTCTCTCTCTCTCTCTCTCTCTCTCGCTCTCTGTATTTATAGCGACGACACCGATTGATTCCCCCCGCACCAGATTCGCCGGCGAGGCGACAGCTGCAAATGGCGGGCGAGGCGCGGAAGGACGACGTCGGGAAGAAGCTCTTCGATTCCCGGGCGGCGGCGTCGCTCGTGGGGGAGCTGAGGGGCGCCTTCGCCTCCGGGACCACGAGGAGCTACCAATGGCGGGAGTCGCAGCTCAAGGGCATCCTCAGGATGACCGACGACCGCGAGCGGGACATCGCCGCCGCCCTCCGCTCCGACCTCGGCAAGCCCGAGCTCGAGTCCGTCGTCTACGAGGTAAGCGCCGCTCCCGGCTCGTTGGAGGGAGGGGGGGGGGGGGGGGGTTGAGATTAGTTCGCGATGCTCCATCGGCTTCGGGTTTTGGTCGGCGTTGACTTTGATGCGTGAAGTCTTGCGCCGATCGTCGGAGATATCTATTGTGACGGTCGTTTTTCGTGCTGGTGTAATCGGCTGGTCTTTGATTTTCTCTCCTCGTACTGATTGATCATGATGAGGAACGGAGGAGGTGGATGGATGCTCATTTCTTGCTTCTCTTCGTTATGGTGTTGGATGCATACTTGATAGCACGTAGTAGCCATCTTTCCATCTGGTCGTATTTGGTTCTTGCGAATTATGGATTACATTTGAGCACATTTATTTTTCCTTAGCTTGTGGTAAGGACATGGAGCTTGCTTTGGGACCACTTAGGTAGTTGGGATTTGGGTGATGTTACTTTGGAAGAGTTGCAATTAATTGCTTGGTGGAAAGGATAGCCAATGAGAACACTCCTTTCACTCCTAAACAAGTTGGATGGTTAATGCCACAAACTATTCTTTCCTTGGCATGTGGTATGATTGTCTGCTGTGGAGATGTTTGTTAGGATAGTTGGGAATTGTACTGGGCATGTTCAATGGCGGCAAAGAAATGAATGCAGAATTATGAATCCAATTAGGTGTCTAGAAGTCACGGAGGGTCATAATGAGATGCGTCTCAAATTGAGGCTATCTACCAATTAAAACCTCAATGAACTATGATGAGATAATCACACCAAAAAAATATAAAAAATATTATGACAGCATATTTAAATCTGGAGAATAGAACATAGCTGTGCAGAAGTCTGAATGAATTGCTTTACCCATTATACCTCAAATTTGTAGTCTCAAGAGTATAAGTGCCAATTGTCTGTGACCAGCCTTTCTATTTGATGAAGGGTGAAATCTGGTCAATGCAAGTATAATCAGCATTTGAAATTCTCATCCTTAGACTGAGGCATGCCCTGGCTCCTTTTGCGTACAATAAACTGAGGCTGGGCCACTAAATCTGGTGCAAAAGCACTTGCTCGTTGAAACAATGCGACCTTTTGACACTGGAATTGCTGATTTAATTTGCCAGCTACCTTAGGCTGCTTGTGTCATAGATGTCGCGGAGTGATTGGGGTATGGCATGTGCATCAATAACAAACTTCTGTTATGCCTCTTAAAGAGTTCTTTGTACTTCCACACCTGTTACATTTTTACAACTTGATATGCAGGTAGCCATGTTGAGGAATTCATGCAAGTTGGCTCTTAAAGAATTACAACATTGGATGATGCCGGAGAAGGTACTGTTCGGGAACGTCACTTCTGACTAGACACTGGTTATTTTATGCTCTTTTTGACAGGTCATCAGATTGAGCTTTATAATTTTCTCTATTGCAGGTTAAAACTTCATTGACCACTTTTCCTTCATCAGCTGAAATAGTGTCAGAACCTTTGGGAGTTGTACTAATAATTTCAGCATGGAATTATCCTTACTGTATGAGACAAGTCTCATTCTTTTTATCGTCCTCGTGTCTATTGTCTCATCTACTAATCTCTTTGTGGTTCTGACATTTTTTCTTCACTATTTGTCAGTGTTGTCTCTCGATCCAGTTGTTGGAGCTATTGCTGCAGGCAATGCTGTTGCTTTGAAACCTTCAGAGATAGCACCAGCCACATCAGCATTGCTTGCAAAATTGTTAGGGGAGTATATGGATAACTCTTCAATTAGGGTTGTTGAGGGAGCTGTTGCTGAAACAACTGCACTGTTGGAGCAAAAGTGGGACAAAATATTTTATACAGGTTAATTCACATGTTGCTTCATAATTTCTTTCAAATGATATTAAGATTAGACTTGACTTAGCTTCTATTGAAGAATTTCTCTAACTGTAGATCTTCTTGAATATGTCCAACGAACTAAGTTACTAATAACTTACACTTTCACATCAATTGCCTACAACAACTTTGATCTTCCTTGTTTTTTTAACGGGAAATCAGAAAGTGAAAATTTTAAGATAGCTACAAACAATAATTTAACTGCTAATTTTTTTTTTCCATGTACCTTACCTTTTTATATTCCCTTGACAGCTACATCTATTGTCATCCCTTTTTTTCAGTAATATGAGAACGGGCAAGTAAAAAATGAGTGAAAAATACAAAGTTTGTTAAGGTTGATTTCCATGGGGTCAGTTTAATGGTTAAGGAGTGGATCTATGAGCCTGGATTGGGGCAGATGACATAAGTGGGATTTCCCACATCATTAGGTGCAAACAATCTTATTTTAAAGCCACCCACTGGAGTTTTAGCTTGCATCTTACCCAATGAATGAGGTTACTGTGTTATTTAATGAGTTTGGGGTTTATTCAATTTAGGTGGATTACAATGTCATAAAAAAAGAGCCCTTGAGATAATAAGACAAGGAGAAAATTGGAGTATGCACTTTGGGATTAGTAACTAAAATTTGAAAGGGGGAAGAGATTACTGCTGCCCCTTGGCAATATGATCTCGAAAAATTTTGTACCGAGTATAGGATACCAATTAGCTGCATCCAAACTCAAAGTTACTAATTGAGAACGATTCCTTGGCACTTCTAGTTGCAGATGAATATTGGAATAGTTGTTCATTCCTGAATTGGTGAATAACTACTACATCTGTGCTGGTCAATAAATTTGGAGCAAAAATGAATTTTCTTTAATTTTCTTTGATTTCTGCCTACTTTGTGGGGTATGTTAATTTATTCTGAAATATAAAGTAGTTTCTTTGATTATATTGGGATTCCATGTGCTCCTTGGATATACTATTGGGTATACTCTGTATTTCAATGGGAATGATAAAATGAAGGGGATGTCATCCGGAGAGGGGCAGATCTACTGTATACTTTACACCATTGAGGAGATATTCGGCATGTTGATTGGAGAGGAACTGAGACACTTCTCTTTACTCTAGCTTGAGATCCTTTTCGGTAGGATTAATCATGAAGCAGTTGTATCACCGGTACCTTTTTCTTCCATAGAAAATAAGCTGGAAAACCAATAACCAACCAGAAGGCAACAGTGGCAGTTCACCAGGTTTAATATTACCGTGAAGGAGTATGAATAATTGAAAGCTTAACTTATCAAACATCATTATCTTCACACTATGTGCGTCAATTTGTTCCAGCCATTCCTGACTTTTCATTGCATCTGATTGTCCAGTGTAAAAGGTCCACTTCCAACTTAGGTTTTGTACCCTGAGCTTAGACCGAGAGAGTCTTTTGTGCTATTGTGTTCTGTCTAGGAAAAATTGGAAGTTATATTTGGCAGAGATCATTCAGCTTCTAGAATAATTGGTCTTTAGGGGAATTCATGCAGAAGGCGTTCTTCATAAGCTTTAGGGAATTTTCACAGCTAAAATGAAACTTGTCTTTGTAGGTAATGGCAGAGTGGGGCAGATTGTGATGGCTGCTGCTGCTAAGCACCTAACACCAGTCGTTTTAGAGCTTGGAGGAAAAGCTCCTGTGGTGGTGGATTCGGGTGTCAATTTACAAGTAACTAATTCTTTTTTGACTTAAATTGATTAAAATTGATAAACATCTTTTTTCAGTTGCTTATGAGGGAAACCAACTGTCTTTTGTAGATTGCATGTAGAAGGATAATCGCAGGCAAGTGGGGATGCAATAATGGGCAAGCTTGCGTTTCTTCTGATTACATGATAACTACGAAAGATCTTGCTCCAAAGTTGGTAAGGTTGCCATATTGATTTGTGTCCGTTGTTTCCTTTTGTATGGGATATCCCAAACGTTGCCTTATCTCTTCCAGGTGGATGCTCTCAAGAATGAACTGGAAATGTTTTATGGGAAGAATCCCTTGGAATCAAAAGATTTGTCCCGTATTGTGAACTCCAACCACTTCACTAGGTTGACGAAGCTTCTGGATGAAGACAAGGTTTCTAATAAAGTTGTTTATGGAGGTGAAAGAGACCCAACCAAGCTGTGAGTTTCTGTCTGGCTATCTGCATCCTCTTTATTCGTTAGACTCCAGTGACTGACATGTTGTTTCTCAATGGCAGGCAAATTGCACCAACCATCTTGCTCGATGTCCCAAGGGATTCTCTGATTATGAAGGAGGAGATATTTGGTCCCTTGCTTCCCATTCTTACTGTGAGAACCAAACATGAATTGCTGCTGATTGTTATGGCAATGCATTATGCTTTTAATGGTTGAAATGTTGACACTGTCTGTATATCAAAGTTTCAAGCTAAATAGAGGAACTGATATAAAGAACTTCTTTCTCTTCTTGATGGGCAAAGTGTGGGCTTCCGTGTTGATTGTAATGTTGAGGATAGAACGTGCACAGGAAAATGCTATTTTGAGAAATACAGCATAAGGAAATTAAAGAGCTGGCTTCCAGTTGGGCTTAGTTGTTATGAGAAAAATGCCTACTATTTTGGATAGTGGTTTTCAACTTTGGATTATTCATGCTTATTGTTTTGATATATCGTGAACAGAGGCTTGAATGTGCAGTTACTGCAGTAAATTAGAAATGTCTGTTGATAACACGTCGAGAGGTTTTTATGCAGTTATAACCTTGTGGAATATATTTCTGATTCATATCTTAAAATGTTGTACAGGTTGACAAGTTGGAAGAGAGCTTTGATATAATTAATTCAGGGCCGAAGCCACTTGCTGCATATATCTTTACCAATGATAAGAAGCTCAAAGACCATTTTGTGAAGAATGTCTCTGCTGGGGGTTTGGTTGTCAATGATACTACAGTTCATGTAAGTTTACGAAAGTTTCCAAGAGAACTCATTATCTTTTGATAGTACTTACTTATTTTAAGTCATCATTCTGTCTCTTTGTTTTCTGTTAGCTTGTACTTGTGTTAAAATATTTCAAGTTCCAGGTTATGCAGCAAAATAAAAGTGTTCTGAATTATAAAGATGCCTGGCTCTTTCACTGTTGTTTCAGGGCCATGTTCTATATTTTTCTTAGAATGATGGCCCTTTTCCTTATCAAGTGCTTTTTGGACACACCTTGGAGGACTTTCACTATTCACCTAAATAATAAGTCCTTATTGGCCTATTATAGTGGAAACATTTTTGGAACTTCAGAGACATCGATCATATCTAACTACATGTCCATGAGAAATGTTTTGGAGTTATTGGTGGCAATTTCATCTGCTTTCCACAAAAAGCTGTGAAGTGAGATTTACTTGTGATGTTACCTTGGTAATCTTTATAGAGATTTTCCAATGAAAATTGGAAACAAAAGTTAAGCAGCGTGAAACTTTTGCTTATTCCCTAGAAGAATCAGTAATTCATAGTAATGGTTCTGGAACTACTTGTGACTTGTGAGCTTTTGTATGCAAGCTTTGCATTCTGCTCGACACTTTCTGTTGTCAAGTACTACAAATTACCTAAAACCTATTGTTGCTTGGAAATGCAGCTTGCTGTCCATACTTTACCATTTGGAGGAGTTGGTGAGAGCGGAATGGGGGCATACCATGGAAAATTCTCTTTCGATGCTTTTAGCCATAAGAAGGCCGTTGTATACCGAAGTTTCATGGGCGATGCCGCGATAAGGTACCCGCCTTACACTAATGGAAAGCTGAGGCTGATGAAGGCCTTGCTCGGTGGTAGTATACTGGGTATCCTACGCGCTATATTTGGACGTTCCTAGGGTTTAACGAATATGCTGCCTTTCTTTCCCATTTTTTCTGTAAGTGAACTTAAATTGCGTGTCAAATAACTCAGCCTTCTCCATTTTTCGATGTTGAAATATCCCGAATTTTCTTTGAAGAGGAGTCTTCCTTTGCATTGCGAGACTCTTATATCGGTTCGAAGGGGGCAGGTGATGCTGTACATGAGCCAATCACGAAGGCCATCTATCTATGGCTCGAGTTGATTGTTGTAGACACTTAGGGCGCGTTTGGTAACGCTTCTGTTTCTCTATTTTTCTGTTCTTCTGTTCCCTGGAACAAAAAAAGAACAGAAATTCGTTTGGTAACGCATTTTATTTTTCTATTTCTTGAAATAGAAAAGTGGCCAAGAAATAGATTTGGAGCAGAAATAAGAAGTAGAAAAAATCTACTTCTTTGTTCCTAGAAATAGAAATAGAAATAGAAAGGTCCGGTACTCAAGTCGCGGCCTCAGCTCCTCCTCCATCCTCCGCCGTCTGCAAACCGTCTCAAAGCACCGGTCCGGTCCATTGTCAGCGGAAATAATAAAAAAATTATAAAAAATTAATTAAATTATAAAAAATTAAAAAATTCCAAAAATTCATAAAAATCAGAAAAACTCAGAAAACCCATAAAAATTTGCAAAATTCCGAAATTGAAAAAATTTTAAAAAAATCATAAAAAGCTTTCTGGAAAATAAAAAGAGACAAATTTCGGGAAAGTAAAAAGTTTTAATAAACTTTTCCCCAAAAAAAAACAAAAATAAAAATTTCACATAATGGCTTAGAATAAATTAAAAATTCCGAAAATTCATAAAAATTAGAAAAAATTCAGAAAAATCCCATAAAAAATTAGAAAATTAAAAAATTCCCAAAATTCATATAAATCAGAAAAATTCTCAGAAAATCCATAAAAATCAGAAAAACTCAGAAAACCCTTAATTATTTGCAAAATTCGGAAATTGAAAAAATCAAAAAAATTTCATAAAAAATTTTTGGAAAAATAAAAAGAAACAGATTTAGGGAAAGTAAAAAATTTTAATAAATTTTACCCCAAAAAAATATAAAAAAATTCACATAATGGCTTAGAATACCTGTGGCCACCCACTTTGAGTGAAATTTAAATTTTTGAGGTGCCCAAGTGGTATTTTTGAAGATTCCTTAGTTTAGGGATTAAAAGGGGTTTTAAACCCCTAAAAAGGATTAGACAAACCAATAAATCATGCTTATTGATTTTTTTCACTTATAACTTGTACTTATAGTTAAATAAAAGATATAGATTTGAATGCAAAAAATTGGGAATAGAAATTTTGTGCAGTTACTAAACGCATTTATGTTCTTTTTCTATTCCAGGGAATAGAAATTTTGTGCGTTATCAAACACATTTCGTTCTAGAAATAGAAATTTTGTCGAGCTTACCAAACGCATTATTTTGCTCGAAACTCTTCCAGGAAATAAAAATAGAAAAAACTATTTCTGAAAAGAAATTGTTCCCAGAAATAGAAACGTTACCATACGCACCCTTACATACAAGTTCACCTAAATCAAGTCGATTGCTGTTGTGCCTTTGAAGAGAGAACCAACATTGGATAGTAATAGCAGCCTTTGCTTCTTCTTCTGTGTTTTGTCCTTTTTCCATTTTCCTTCTTATTTGATGTCGCTGTTTTTGATGTTCAATGATATGGAACGGCGTGATTCGATGGAACCTCCACCGTGAATAAAGATTGGTGCGGAGAAGATGCTGACAAGCAAGGGATTTATTTTGACCGGGTCTAGTAATCCAGCAAATATGTATATTTATATAATTAATAAAAATTGACTTGGTCTTCTGGGAGGGTTAACTCAGTGGTCTGGCCATCCTGCAAAATTTTTTAATATCGGGATGGGCCATTCAAAACCAACTGCTCCCACCAAAAATATGATGATGGGGAAACCTGTTCAGCACGTCACCGATGCCAAATTCCGCGTATTGATCAATGGTTTACGGGCAAAACTGGATGAAATCTAAGCATCTTATTCGAATGTTCGTTCGTAAATCGGTTTTTAATATGGGTCAGCCGATGTTCGTCGTGTCGCATTGGTGTTTTTGATTTTTCGTCAGTACGTGTACAGACTGTCCCTTGCCTCTGTCCACATGGGACAAAAAGTCTAAAACCGCGAGGCGAGAGTGTTCTGCTGGTGCAGTGCAGCTTCCACGGACAGGCTTCATCAGAGGACGCTAGAAGTCGACGTCAATGTGCCCCTAAACTAAAGCCAAAACAAATGATAAATAAATAAATAAAAAGTTGTATGTAATAAATATCTCACGCAAAACTTCGAGAGGAAGGCACTTGAAAAGTCTAGGCGTCAAAGCCGGGATTCTAGTAAATAATAGAAATTTATGGGGCAAACCCCTCCCAATGATTCCCTCATCATTGAAAAAAGAATTTATTTTGAAAAAAATAAATAATTCGCAAAAAGTCTTCATAAAAATAACCACTCGATGTTGGTTTACCGAGAAAATGCATGAACATTGTTTACGAAAATATTTAGATATAAAATATTATCGACAATGAAAATATTTTTCGTTGATAAGAAAATATGTTTTAAATAATTTAATTGGCGAAACAAACAGAGCATTGAATCTTGGAGATAGCGAAGAAAAAAAAAAACCAACAGTAGTAATTAAGTCAGCAAAAGATATACAGAGATCAAAGTTCCATAAATGATTATACTCCTGTCATAAGGAACATTTTCTTTCAAGAGGACTTGTTGAAGTTGTGATTATAGGAGTATCGTCACTGTTATCTTGGACACCAGTGTCAGGCTCCATGGCCAATTGTCACCGCCACCAGATACGGGCGTTGCGTTTCCTTTCCAAGCCCAAATTGTCAACGTTTTTAGGAAATTATTTCGAAATCATTCACGTACGTGGTTAATTTTTTCTTCTATCTTTGGTTAGACGAACCGAGCCACTCTTTCAATTGGTAATTTCCACTTGTGGACACCATCCATTCGTAAGATTAATTGAACATAAACGTGTGTGTGATTTTTATGGTCGGAATCCTCTGTGAGTGACTAGAAGAAAACACGACCCTTCGAGCGCAATGATAATTTCTATGGATAAATCACTGAACAAAGGGAATAATGAGAGAGAGAGAGAGAGGAATGGGAGAGAGAATGAGAGATCACTCTGAACAAAGACTCACCTCGTTGTTAACATCGTGTCGTATTTTTCTAGTTTAATTATTTGCGATGTGAGAGCAAGAGAGTTGGAGGGAGTGTTTGGTTTCAGAGTCAAGAGAGTGTGGAATAGTGCAAAATAATGACTAAGGTAACAATCTAAGTAGTACATGCGGGGAAAATTACCAAAAAAGTACTAAACATATTATACGGAAATCAATTTTCTTTTTGTCGAACATATGGGAATTAATTCAGCCCTAAATCTTTTGACGATTTGTCAATGTAGTTATTCCGATCAATTTTGATCGGATGTCACTGACGTAGACAACAATCTTACGTGGCACGACCGACAATGACGTGGATAATTTTTGTAATTTGTTTTTTATTTTCAATTCTGAGCCGGTGACCTTTGCTGGCTGCATTGTCCCCATTAACAGAAAAGAAAAGAAAAAAATTCGAAAAAATATTTAAAAAATTTATCTACATCAATGTCAGTCGTGCCAAAATTGGACGGGAGGACTACATTGGCATTGGGCCAAATTTGAAAGATTCGGAGCCGATCGGCACTTTTTTTTGGGGGGCTAATCATCCTCATATTGTTGTGTCATTTTGGGTCAATCCTATAATTGACGTAAGGCAAGGGGGCGATCACATTGCGGACTTCACCCGACTAAGAAAGTAAGAAACAGGGGAAAAAGTTGACCGAGAAAATTTGGAAGTCAAGGCTTTAATCTACGCGGTGGCGGCCATTGCTGGGCGGGTCGAAGCTTCCTAGGATCCCCAACAAGCAATCTCACACGCTCTCTCTTCGCTTTCCAAGATCAATAAAACCTGCAGAAATCTCTCACGACCCTTCCCTCCATCATCATCACCACCACCATCACCATCATCGTCACCATCTCTGTCTCTTTCTCTGCATACTGTCCATTGAACGCGTGGAGTGCGGCACTGTTCGAGACAGTAGGGGCCGAATCCGAGGGAGTAGAAAAGCCTGTGGGACTCCGCCTCTTGTTGCTGCAGAGGCCGCCCACCCACCTCGTCTTCTTTTGCTGAACGATCAGGTCTTTGAGAGAGAGAGAGATGGGTAGTCATGGGAAATCAAGAAAGGCCATGATCACCGTGCTCTGCTGGGTCTCGGTGTGCGCCGCTCTTCAGGGCTGTTTCGCCGATATCCCTCACTTCGGGAAGAAGTCCGCCTCTCGCTCCGGCTCCTCCTTCGTCCTTCCGATCTCCGGCAACGTTTACCCTCTTGGGTACGCGCCGCTTTCTTTGCTCCGATCATCTCTTGAGCGCTACTGATTTGCTAATTCGGCCCTGTGATTCTTGTAATGTCATTTGGATAATCCATTCCCTCCTCGTTCTGTTCGTTTATTGGATTCGGTTGTCATAGTGGTTGTTTCCTATGTTTCTGCTGGTGCGAATTTGTCTGTTCTTTTAGCTCCGATTTCAAATTGGTGGTATTGTGCTAAGTTCGTTTCTGATTTGGATTTTGTCAATTGAAGACCCAATTTGGTCTTGAGTTTTCTGGGTTCTTTCTTGAACTGCCCTGCTTTCCAGAAGTTTGACTATTTTATTCCGTGAAATTTCTCTGAGATTTCACCTTTCTTCCAAAAGTTTGATTTCTTAGTACTTTTTGAGCTTTGCTACTGCTACCCTTCTAGAACTAGACTTTAACTTTTCCTGGAGTTTTGCCTCTCTTTTTGGTTCTGGTAGACTTCATCCCATTGTAACTTGGTCCAGCGCACTACCTTTTTTTTGTTGGGTCGAATCCAGTGCACTATTTTAAGAAAACAAAAGTTGTTCCTTTGTGTCCCTTCTACCGTTTCTTTGATTCTCGCAACGCTTCAATGGCCAGTAAGAAAAGTTGAGAATGCTATATTGTGTACTTTTTTGACGTCGTAACTTTCTGAGCATGCCGATTATGATGATGGTCATTGCAATTCTTGTCGCTGTAACATTCAGGTACTATTCGGTGTCCGTCAGCATTGGTCGCCCACCGAAGACTTTTGACCTGGACATCGACACTGGCAGTGACCTAACTTGGGTTCAGTGTGATGCTCCTTGTACTGGGTGCACTAAGGTAAAGTTGTTTTGCATGATCGAGAGTTTGTCCTTGCCTGTGGTATGCTTACTATGCTGCCGGATTCTGTTACTTGTGAATACAACTGCTCTCGAGTTTAACCAATTAAGAGCAGCAAAAGAGGATCTCTGAGGTTTGATTATGAGTTTGATAGATACAGAACATGATCAACTTCAACCTGACAAATCTCGATTTGTCTTGTTATGCAAATCAATTGTCGCCCCATATACTTTAGCGAAGATAAAGAATAGCCTCGTAATGAGGCGAGCACAACAAGACACTGCAATTCACTCCTTGCCACTTGATTATTATTTTGTTAGTGAGGTTTTTAGTGGCAGGGGTTTTGTTGTATTGATGTTTGCTTTTCTTATGTGAACAGCCTCGCGACAGTCTTTACAAGCCTAATAACAACCTTGTGCAATGTGAGAACCCTCTCTGCGCTGCCGTACATACATCTGGAAACCAACCATGCAAGACCCCCAATGATCAATGTGATTATGAGGTAGAATATGCAGACCAAGGTTCATCTCTTGGTGTTCTTGTCAGTGACTATATCTCCCTAAAATCAATGAATGGATCTCTCCTCAATCCTCGTCTGGCCTTTGGGTGAGAATTTACTCCTAAAATTTTTCATTCATGCTCTTTGAGTCGCTAATGTCCGAATGGCTTATCTTGCCTTGCTACTAATTTTATAATGACTCCCAATATTTTTGCCCGAAGATGTGGATATGATCAACATTTTCCTGGTCCTATACCTCCTCCTGCCACTGCCGGTGTCCTTGGCCTCGGCAATGGAAAAGCTAGCATCCTCTCTCAATTGAGTAGCCTCAACTTGATACGCAACATATTAGGTCACTGTCTGAGTGCTCGAGGTGGAGGCTTCCTCTTCTTTGGAGACGATGTCGTCCCTTCTTCAAAAATTGCCTGGGTACCATTGTCAGCTAGTTCATCGGTGTATGCAACTGGTCCATCTATTTCGTTTGGCTAATTTTTTGTCACATTATATATCTTGCTAAAATCTTGGGGACCTGACTAAATGTATTGTTTCAGCAAGCACTATGCAGCAGGACCTGCGGGACTCTTATACAATAATAAGCCTATTGGTGTAAATGGTCTTCAAGTGGTTTTTGACAGTGGGAGCTCCTACACTTATTTTAATCCTAAGGCTTATCAAGCTGTGCTCAATCAGGTTTGCCGGAAACTAGACATTTTGGTTGAAACTTAGATTTGAGTAACTTTCTTAGTAAGTAATTCCCGTATTTCACATGTTAGGTAAGGGCAGATTTGAAGGGAAAGCCTCTGAAAGAGACAGATGAGGACAAGTCTCTTCCGATCTGCTGGAAGGGAGCAAAACCTTTCAAGTCTGTGAATGAGGTCAAGCACCAATTTAAGCCTTTAGCGTTGAGCTTTACGAAAGGAAATGCCCAACTTCAGTTGCTGCCCGAGGCTTATCTCATTGTCACAGTAAGCTTATAATTCTTTTTTCTCTGTATTGTGTGAGTGCACAGCGACAATTCGTATAGTTTGTTCGTGATAAATTAAGGCTTGTTTTTTCCCCAGAAACTCGGTAATGCGTGCTTGGGAATTTTGAACGGTGGGCAAGTGAAGCTAGGAGAGCTCAATGTAATAGGAGGTAACAGGCAGTTCTGACTGATGGAACTCAGACCGGTGGATGCCGGCGTAATTGTTCTCACGGATTTGACATGCTCATTGCTCTCTGTTTGCAGACATTTCCATGCAAGATAAAATGGTGGTCTACGATAATGAAAAGAAGCAGATTGGATGGGTTTCGGCAAACTGTGACAGGCTTCCGAAGTCCTGACCTGTTCTCAGTTATTTTTTCTTATTAAATAATGATGCGCTGTGGACTTTCTCACCAGGACCATTTTTTCCTCTTTATTAACAGTGCGGATCGTGATTATAATGGTGATTTTTCTGAGCCTTATGCAGCTGATTTTGGTATCTTAAGACAGTTGAGTCCAGCCACTTGCTTCCTCTGAAGAGCGGTCTCTGGCTGATGAAGAACGTCTTAGGTATATGAGAGAGAGAGAGAGAGAGAGAGAGAGAGAGAGAGAGAGAGAGAGAGAGAGAGAGAGGTTACGGACTGTACATGTATTTTTTTGCAAAGATAGGGATTACAAAGATTATATCCTTTGCCTGTCGTAAATTCGCTGGTCCGCAGATGTAATTACCATAAGCCCTATATTAGCAGGGGCATACATGTTTCTTGTTTACAGAAGAGCGCAGAACATTATGTTGCAATCTACTGCCAAAAACATCCTACTCATCTCCGTGCTTATTTGCTTGTGGGGCGAACCTGTCGGAGACCCCTAGCGGATATCAACATGTTAATTCTTTCAACCTTTCAATGACTGTACACAATACCACCGTACACCTAGACGAAACATGCAGTTCCATTTGCTCGAGACGGCAAATAGTAAACCTCAGTTTGCAAAGATACGAATTGCACACTGCATAAGGCACAAAAGGAAATGCTATTCAAGTCAGAACCAGTGTTGTGGAGCCATATCTACACCATCTTTGAAATAAGGAATGAGATGCAAATCAATTTACTAAGATTGAGGGCAAAGCGTGCAATGACTTTGAGCATCATGAAGTAGTACACATCAACGAGAACCAAAAAAATGCAAATGGCAAATCTTTGTTATGGCCTCAACATGTAGATTCTGCAGTTCCTCATCCAGACCGGAAACATCCTCACCCAAGAGTTAATGGAGTTAGGCTTTAGCTGTAATAACTTACCATAGAGCATTGACGTACTGACTGTTATTGCTGATATATTCAGCTAATTCACACAAACTTCTAGTTTTCACAGAGAGAGATAGAATGAAAAACCTTTTACTACTAATACCGAAAACTGTCAAGTACAAGCAAAATAGGAACCTTTTAGAACCACACACAAACGTGCAAAATAGACTTGTTCCACTTCCTAGAAAATAGCTAACAAACCAATCGCCTAACAAACAAACTTGACTGAATAACAAAAAAAAAAGAAGCTAAAACGACAGAACATTAGCAGCAGCACTAAGACACAGCTCCAACAAACTCCTCCTTGGATTAGTTGCTGCTGCAAACTCCTATTTTCTCTCTTAACAGCTCAAATCTTCCAGCATGAAGTGGCTTTGTGATCATGTCTGCAAGCTGATCTTCTAATCTGCAATAGACCAACTTAACTTCACCACTTTGTTGCACTTCACGCAGAAAGAAGAATTTGACCTTAAAATGCTTGGTTTTGCCATGGAAAACTGGATTTTGTGAAATTGCTAATGCAGCCTGATTGTCCACATAAACTTCAATGCAATCACTAGAATTCAACCACAGATCCTTCATTATCTTATTTAACCACAAAGCTTGATTTGCAGCTGCAGTAGCTGCTATAAACTCAGCCTCTGTAATGGACTGATCTACAATCTTCTGCTTTTTGACACACCAGGAGAAACAAGCAGAACCAAGAGTGAAGCAGTACCCAGATGTACTCTTCATGTCATCCACTGAACCAGCCCAGTCACTATCAAAAGAGCCTTGCAACTTAAACTTCTGGCCTTTCGTAAACTTCACACCAAAGAACAATGTTTCTCTGAGGTATCTCAAGACCCTTTTTGCAGCAACCAAATTTAACTGACTGGGACTACTCATGAACCTGGATAGAACACTCACAACAAATAGAATATATGGTCTAGTTCCTGCAAGATACATGAGACATCCAATTAAGCTTCTATACACAGAAGCATCTACTGCATCTGTTCCATCATTCTTCTGCAGCTTCTCCTTAGCAGCCATAGGAGTGCTGACACTTCTACAATCTTCCATCTGAAACTTCTTCAGAATTTCCTTCATGTATTTTTTTTGGCAGATGAAGATCTCATGTGAAGCTTGTTTGATTTTCAGACCCAGGAAATAAGCTATCTTTTCCAAGTCTAACATCTCAAAAACTGCAAACAGACCTTGCTTCACCCTCTCTATCAGTTCCACATCATTCCCTGTCACCAACAAATCATCTACATAGAGTGACAGAATTACAACACTGTGATTCACCCTCTTGACATAAAGAGTGAACTCACTCAAGCTTCTTACAAAGCCAAAATCCTGCAAGTATCGGTCTATCTTCCCATACCAAGCTCTTGGAGCCTATTTCAGTCCATATAGAGCTTTCCTCAATCTGTATACCTTCTCTTCTTGCCCTTTGATACTGAAGCCTTTAGGTTGTTCAACAAAAATCTCCTTCTCGAGCTCTCCATTTAGAAATGCAGACTTGACATCTAACTGAAATATAGGCCACCCCTTCTCTGCTGCAATAGCTAATAGTAGCCTAATTGTATCAAGTCTTGCAACAGGAGCAAAAGTCTCAGAATAGTCTACTCCCCATATCTGAGCATAGCCTTTCACAACTAGTCTAGCTTTGTGTTTATTGACAGAACCATCAGGATTAAGTTTTGTTCTGAACACCCACTTAACCCCAATCATATTCTTATCAGTTGGTCTGTCAACAAGCTCCCATGTGTGGTTTTTCTGAATCATTGCCAACTCCTCCTGCATTGCTGCAATCCACCTTTGATCCTCCCTAGCTTCCACAAAGTTGGCTGGTTCAAGCACTGCCCCATTGCTTCTTTCATAAATTTCAACAAGTGACCTTGTGCCTTTTACTGGCAGATCATACATAGTATCTTCCAATCCATCCACAACTTCATCAACTTGTACAATTGTTGCAGGTTGTTGTTCTGCAGATTGCTGCTGTCCTGCATTCTTTTCTTCCATCCAATTCCACTCATCTTCCTCTAGAAAAACATCTTTGCTCATAGTCACCTTCCCTGTCATAGGCTAAAAAAAATCCTATAAGCCTTTGATTGGAGACTGTACCCAATGAAGACTCCAGGCTCATCTCTTTGATCCAGCTTGTCCCTCTTGACCTGAGGAACATGATTATAACACAAACACCCAAAAACCTTCAAATTCTTCACAGAAGGTCTAAAACCATACCAAACTTCAAAAGGTGTTGACCTCTCTAAGGTCTTTGTGGGCAATCTATTCAATAGGAACACTGCAGTATTAGTTGCCTCAGCCCAGAACTTCTTAGGTAACATCTTCTCCTGCATCATACATCTGACCATCTCCATAATGCTTATGTTTTTCCTCTCACTGACCCCATTCTATTGAGGTGGATAGGGAGCAATAAACTGCTGCACAATGCCTGCTTGCTCACAGTTTAACTTAAATTTGTGAGCAGTATACTCAGAACCATTATCAGACTTGAGCATTTGGATTTTCTTCCCACTCCGATTCTCAACTAAGGCTTTGAACTTCACAAACACATCAGCAACTTCAGACTTGGCTTGCAGAAAGTAAATCTAGCTCATCCTAGTCATGTCATTTGTGAAAGTAATGAAATACCCGCTACCACTGAGAGATGACTCAGACATAGGTCCACATAAGTCTGTGTGGACTAATTGCAGCTTCTCACATGCTCTCTAGCCTCCTCCTTTGAAAGGAAATCTGGCTTGCTTGCCAAGAAAACAAGTTCTGCACTGTAGAAATTCCTCTTCCAAACTTGGCAAGTCATCTGCCAAGCTATTCCTCTGCATAAACAACATGTTCTTCCTGTGAACAAGCCCAAGCCTTTTATGCCATAGCTCTGTATTTTCTTCTTTGCACTTCAAAGCCATTTGTTGCATCTCCTGTGGCTTGAACAGGAAGCACTTGTCCTTCATTGGCATTCTCAGCACTTCCTTGCTATCTGCATTATCAATAAGGCATTCCTTCCCTTCAAACTTCACCTTATAGCCCCTCTTAACTAATTGACCAACACTCAAGAGATTCTGGTCAACTTTTGGCACAAAGAGAACATCACTTATCAACTTCACCTCCTGATTTCCTTCAATAGCTATTGTACCATTCCCTTGCAATTCGATATACTGTCCATTGCCAATTCTGACTCTAGACCTGACTGACCTGTCTACTCTCCTAAACAGCTTCAAATTGTCAGTCATATGATTGATACAGCCACTATCCACCAGCCATGCATCATTCTCAACAGGAGAACTAGAATAGGAAGCTACAAACAAGTGTTCATCCTCAGTCTCATTCACTGCTATTCGTGCTTCTCCTGCTTGCTGGTGATTGTTCTCTTTGCAGATAGCTTCCATGTGACCAACCTTGTGATATCTTCTGCACTTAGCATCAGGCCTCCTCCAGCATCTAAAGGACTGATGATTAGTTCCACCACAGTGTTGACAAGGCTTCTTGTTCTTCTTCCATTTGACAAACCCACTAGAACTTCCTTCTTTTGTTGCAAACTTGGAGTCACTTGCATTCCCTTTGGACTGATTCCATTTCTTCCCTTTGTCTCCATTATTGAACTTCACTTTAGCTTGCAGTGCACCCTCTACAGGCTCTTCTCTTCTCATCAGTCTTCTATGCTCCTGTGCCTACAGGGCACTTAACAATTCTGCAAGCTTTATGTCAGCTAAGTCTCTTGTATTTTCCAGAGAAGCTATGGTGGCTTCAAACTTCTCTGAAAGAGATGCCAGGATCTTCTGAACCAGCCTTTTATCCTTCAAGTCAGTCCCTAAGATTCTGATCTTTTCGGCTATCTCAATTAGCCTATCAGAGTATTCCTTCACTGACTTTGAATCCTTCATTTGCTGTCTCTCAAACTCCCTCAAGAGATTCAGCACCTTCATGCTCCTTACCTTCTCATCTCCCTCGTATTCATCCTTTAAGAAATCCCATTATGCCTTTGCAGAATCACATATCATGATCCTTGTGAAGATAGGGGGTGAGACAGCAGCATACAAGCAAGACTTTGCCTTGGCCTTCCTTGTGGTTCTCTCTTTATGGTGCTTTATCTGATTCAAGGTCGGATTGTTTGGAAGTGGAGCAACCTCATAATCATTCTCCACAGCCTCTCATAGATCATGACCCTCCAAGAATGCTGTCATCTTGACAGCCCAAGCTTGATAATTTTCCCCAGTAAAGACTGGAGTAGCCATTGCAGAGAATCCACTTGATCCTGCCTCCATCAGCTTTTTCTTTGCAGATTGGAAGTAGTCTTCACACTCACTTACCCTCATTTCACAGTCCCTTAAGATCCCACAGAGGCTTTGATACCACCGTTATTGTTGATATATTCAGCTAATTCACACAAACTTCTAGTTTTCACAGAGAGAGATAGAATGAAAAACCTTTTACTACTAATACTGAAAACTATCAAGTACAACCAAAATAGGAACCTTTTAGAACTGCACACAAACGTGTAAAACAGATTTGTTC